ACTTGGGAGGCTGAGGGAGAAGAATCACTTGAACCCAGGAGGTGGAGGTTGCAGTGAGCCGAGATCATGCCACTGCATTCACTCCAGCCTGAACGACAAGAGTGAGACTCTGTCTCAAAAAATAAAAAAGATTTTGAATGGTATATGTTCTGTGTATTTTATTATAAACTTTACAAAAAACATAGGCCTCAGCGACTGGGAAAATGATAATACTATTAATTGACCCAACAAAATTAGGGGAGAAATGAAGAAAATGGGTCTGGTTTAAGACAGTTTGAACCTGTGAGCCATCTAAGTGGAAATGTTTGGAAGACAGAACACTTGTGAGGCTGGTACTCAGGTGAGGAGACAGGCCATCAGCAGGTAGAATTCAACATGAATACTGAATTTTATAAACTATTTTTCCTCTCTATTGAAATAGTCATACCAGCTTTCCTTTTATAATCTGTACATGTGACACATTAAATTGACAGATTATGAATGTAGAAGCATCTTGGCATTCTTAGGATAAAATATATTTTAAAATATATATAGTTTTATTTGATGCCATTTTATTTAGGATTTTTTCTTCTTCGTTCATGAGTGAGCTTAGGCTGTAATTTTTTTGGTATTGTTTTTGTCTGCACAATATGAACCTTAATGTTATTAAGGCTATACTAGCTTTATACAATGAGTTGATTTCCTTAATTTTCTATTTTCTAGAACTGTTTTTACATAAGAGTGATTGAGGCTGGGCACTGTGGATCCCACCTGTAACCCCAGCACTTTGGGAGGCCAAAGCGGGAAGATCACCTGAGGTCAGGAGTTCAAGACAGCCTAGTCATGGTGAAACCCTGTCTCTACTAAAAATACAAAAATTAGCCAGGCGTGGTGGCAAATACCTATAATTTCAGCTACTTGGGAGGCTGAGACAGGAGAATCTTTTGAACCCAGGAGGCAGAGGCTATAGTGAGTCAAGATCGTGCCATTGCACTCCAGCCTGGGTAACAGTGAAACTCTGTCTCAAAAACAAACAAACATAAGAGTGACTGAAAGTTTGGTAAAAACCTCTTCATAAAGCCATACAGGCTTGGTGCTTTTGTATTTAATTTTTTTGAGATGAAGCCTTGCTATGTTGCCCAGGCTGGACTTGAACTCCTGGGGTCAAGCAGCTGAGATTACAGATGCTCACCACTGTATGAGGCCAGGCCTGGTAGTTTTGAAGGAGAGAATCTTTACCACCAGTTTAGATTCCTTAAAGGTTAGAAGTCTAATCAGATATTCTATGTCTTCTTTTTTTTTTTTTTTTTTT